TTTACTTTGCCCTGTTCTCATGATTGCATTGATAATGATCATTTTTGTTAGACTGAACATAATTCTTTGCCTGTAATAATGGTTCCTATCAATAATCTATAGATTTGGAACATTAAGATATTTTTTTTTTTTTTGGTCTGCAGTTCAAGAGTAAAGGTCTTGAAAAAAATTTATCCAACTTTAAATACTGCATGGATCAGCACTGCTCCGCTAGTAATCCCTTTGATTAAGCATTCCTTATTTTACCAACTCGTGCATTAAAACCAGAACAGACAGTGTGTATTGTAGTACACAGAAGTACTGCTAAGGAAAGCACATGTACTATTTGTACAGTTTAAATTTTTGCAAATTCAATATTACTGTATATAATACAGTTTAAATTTAAAAAAATAATTTTATTTATGAATTAGTAAAAAAATAAATAGTTTACCTTTTTATCTTCCATTTTCTTTTTTAACTTTTTTTTTTTTGAAGTCCGCAGATGCACTTTTGGTGGCAATCGACTCTGAAGTAGTGGGAGCTGTTGATATACTACTTAATCATCGACCAAAACGGGCATCAAGACCAACTATAGTAGTTAGTACTCTTAAGTATTTATTAATTTGGATTTTTAAACCAAAGTAGATCTCCTGCTCCATTGCCATTTTTTTCTTCCCCCAAAATTGTTTCGTTTTTTTAAAAAGTAGATTTTTTTCACTTGTAAAGTATTACCTTAAAGTAAGTAGGCATTTGCAATAATAATTAGTATTGCTTTCAGGAAAACTTTTTAAAATTAATTGATATTCCCATAATTTTATCATAATGGACACTTTTAGTCTAGAGTATTCTGCAGGTAATGTTGAAAATATAGGCTAATTTCTAGATAGACTTAAGAATTAAATGTACACCATAAAATTATTCAGTGAAACTATAAAACTGGAAGACAATGTAGATGAATATTTAACTGATTAGGAGTAAAAGGATTTTTTTTAAAGCATAAAAATAATGGACAAAAATTACAGTGAGACTGTCTTTGGCTGTTATATACATTAAATTAATGGAATCCAAACATTAGGCAAAATTTAGAAAATGATGGAAAACTGGCAAAACATACTTGCAGCAAATATCTCAAATTAGTAATATTTGTTTTAATATTAGATAAATTAATGGAAGACATCAAATCATATTACAAAATGACAAAAAATTCATAAAAAGAAAAATAAAATGTTAAACCTTACTGATAATCAAATGCGAGATACTTATTTTTGCTTATTAAATTACAAAAAAATCCCCCCCCTTTTTTTTTGAGATAGGATTTCACAATGTCGCCTATGCTGGTCTTGAATTTGTGGGCTGAAGCAATTCTTCTCTGCAAGCCTGCCTACTGAGTAGCTGGGGCTACAAGCATGTACTTAGCAAATATTTTTAATGATAATCATTGATGGCAAGGAGAAGTAGAGGTTTATGTGCTGGTGGAGGTATTTTGGAAAACATTTTGGCAAGATGTGTCATAAACAAGAAAGCTGTCATATTCTTAGTGTTTTCTCTTCTAGAAATCTGTGAAGGAGATGGTTAAAAAATGAATAAAAATGTTGATTACAGTTTTATTTATAGCAATGAAAAACAATGCAATGTGACACAAGTCTAAACATTCTAAAAATAGTTCAATGGTAAGGGCTTGCTATGAATGTGGGAGACCCCAGGTTTGATTCCCAGCACCAGGGTGAAGAAAATAAACATTTTAAAAGAAGATAGGAAATGTAAATAATTATATGTACACACAGTGAAATATGCAGTCATTAAAATATTATTTTAAAAAGAACTTTTTGAGGGGCTGGGGTTGTGGCTCAGTGGTAGAGCACGTACCTAGCACATGCACATGCGAGGCCCTGGGTTCGATCCTTAGCACCACACAAAAATAAATAAAATAAAAGTATTGTGTCCAACTACAACTAAAAAATAAATATTTTTAAAACAAACTTTTTGAAATATGTAAATTTATGATATATTAAGTGGGAAAAAATGGGGATAATGAATTATACATGTTATTTGATCCAATGTTAAAAATACTGAATAAAGACTGTCTAAATGTAGCAAAATTTTCATTTCTTGTTGCTTGAAAAGTATATTTTTTCTTTAAAATATTTTCTTTATTGCTGTTTAATTAGGATAGCATTAATAATCAAATAAATACTAATTTAAAAATAAGATATATGTTGTACATCAAGTTTTTAAATTCTATCATTTATTATTGATGAGGGTAAAATGAAACAGTTTAAATAACTGCTGGGAGTATAGATAGGTTATACACAGAAGAAAAATAATGTTTTAAGAAATAATTATAAATTTGTAGCAGACTATGTGCCATGATCTGAGAACTGTAAGAAGCTCTGCCAAATTTCATCCTTTATCATAATTGAAAATTTTTACTTTCATTTAGACTTACAAGAATATGACTTTCTGGGTTGGTGGTGTAGCTCAGTGGTAGAGGCTTGCCTAGGATGTACAAGGCCCTGGGTTCAATCCCCAGAGCCACAAAAAATAAAACACTATAATAAAAACAAAAATGTATGACTTGCTGCAGAGGATATTACCATCTAGTTTAAGTAGTGGTAAGAAACTAACAGGAATAAAAAAAAAAGAACTAAGACTATATATAGTCCCTATCCAAAGGACCAGAAATATCTGGAATCCTATTGAATTTTCTGCCATTTATCTTAAAGTTACTATCATATTTTGGTCTACCTGTTCGTCCTGGCCTTTCAACCCATTTCCTTTCTTGAGTGGCAGTGTGGAGTGGAGTGCACTAAATATCGAAACCCCTGACTAGTATTATCTTATCACTGTTACCACTGCCAGTTTAAAAATCTTAGAGTTGCATGGCTTTGGCAGTCCTCACCTAGTCAGTGTAAAAACACTGTCTACTCCAACAAATGAAAGTTATTCAGTCTCTATCTAAATACTTCCAGTGTCAGCAAAATCATATTTAATAGCCCTATTCTGCCAGACAGGCAATATTAAATTTTTTATATATTTTATTTTACCACTTCAATAAATTCATTCTCTATTCTTGACTTGTCAAAATTTTATTTTCCCAATTGGCTTTCAAATACAGGTTATTTGATAATACATAGACTATGTTACAAACAATGAACTTATGAATATTAATCTTATACATGTCTTAATAGTGTTTTTCATATAGTTAAAAGTGTTTCATAAGAAGCATGAGGACCACTTTTCTCTTAGGATTTTTCTGTTAGGACTAAATATAATTTTCTTCATGGCCAATAATGCAGTAAGAGGGAAAATGGCTAATTTTAGGTTTCTGTGTAATTGTTAAATTCATTAATTTGAAGTCTTCAATAAGTAATTGGGAAGTATCTATACAAACGATTCATAAAAGGGGAAAAACAAAATTTAAAAAGTATATTGTAAAACATTAAAATTTACTAGTAATCAAAGTAAAGCAAATTAAAATTTCATAATGATGTTTTTCATTCATAAATTATAATTTATCTAACTTACCCAGCACTGGTGAGTAAACTTTAGGGTAAAATGAATACTTTTTAAATATTATTGGTAATATAAGCTACTAAAAGAACTGTGATATTAATCATTAGGAGTGTCAAAACTGTTCATGGTCTTTAGATCTATAATTCCACTTTGTGTTGGAGTGTCTGTGTTAATGAAATAATCCTAAATTTGCAAAAACCTGTTTTCATAAAGATGTTTGTTATAGTGTTATTTAAATTAGCAAAATATCTTGAACATAGTTTATGAACTTCCTTAAATTGCATGTAAAATTCTGCACATTAATTTTTTTCCTTGAAGATCCTGGGCTATAGCTTTATAAGATTATTAAAAATTGTCCTTGACCTTTGAAAAAGTAAGAATTGTGTTTTTAACTACTGGTGTTTAGCATACCTATTATTTATTCAAAAGATGTTTTTTTAAAAAGGGGTGTGATAGAGAAAGGACTTGAAGGAAATATTGTACTATAAAATGTTATTTGGATAGAAGGAATATAGGTATTTTTATTCTTCTTTCTGCTTTTCTATATTTTTCAGATATTTTATATTGAGTGTACACTACTTTTACAATGTTAATAAAAATTACCAAAATGTGAACTTGATCAGCTTACCCTGGATCAAACAGCTCTCAGGGAAACCTCTGCGAAAAAGTGAGAAGTATTGGAAAGAATATACAATAGTCATAAAATAGTTAACCTTTTTATTTAACCTTGATTCTTTGATTACTAATATTTTTTTCCTCATTTCATGTCATCCTCAGGCCCCTGTGCCCACGAATTAGAAGGAGCTCAGGCTCCTGGTAGTACAGACCTGGATTCTGATCAGCACCCTGCCACTCCATTGTGTGGCTTGGGCACATTAACTTCTCTGAGCCTCAGTTTCTTCATGGGGATTAATTATGCTAAGTTTTATAGGCTACTGTGAGGATTAAATGAGATGATAAATGTAATGTGTTCCAGGACTCATGTGTTCCAGGACTCATTAAATAGTAACTGTGATCGATAGTGTTTTTGTGCAATAGGAAGTAGTATAGGTAAAGAACTACACAAAATGAAGAGTGCTTCCTATTCTTTTCAAGTAGCTTCATTGCTATTAGTGTGACAAGATTTGTCATAAAGGTGGAATTTTTAATTTTTCTCATGCATTTGTACTCTGTTTTTAACATTTCTGTTTTTTCATTATATTCTTTTTCTAAAATTCTTGCTCTTTATCCTTCTCATGCATGTTCTTCTTTTTTCTTAGAAAATAGAACTCTAGTTATATGAATGTTTCCTACTGAAGACTTTGTCTGTTATGATTATACTCCATTTATTAACTGAATTAAGTTTTGAGGTTTCAAAATATGTAGTCCAAGTATAATGCTTATCATATTCTTTAAAATGATTACCAAGTTCTTTGTGCCTTCCTATTTTTTTCATTTCATTCTTCAGATAAATAGTTTTTTGAAGTCACAAATAATAACTTTTGGACATTTATATAAATATTTTTCAGAAACTAATGGAACGAATCCAGAATCCTGAGTACTCAACTACTATGGATGTCGCACCTGTCATTTTAGCTGCTCATCGTAACAACTACGAGATTCTTACAATGCTGCTAAAACAGGATGTTTCTCTACCCAAGCCCCATGCAGTTGGCTGTGAATGTACACTGTGTTCTGCAAAAAACAAAAAGGACAGCCTCCGACATTCCAGGTTAGAAAATTAAGATTTTGGTAAATAAATGTGTGATGTAGTAAGATATGTATCAATGATGTTGGGGGTTTTGTTTGTTTATTGTTTGGTTTCTTATTTTAGTATTCTTTTTATGCAGCTTTTAAGAAATGTGATGCTCTATGACTACTGAAAGCCATACTTCTAGCTCTGTTGCTCACTGAGTTCTGAATTTTTCAGAACTTTTTACCAAATGCTGTCACGTTCCTGGGGACTTAAACACTCAAACCTGCCCACCCAGGGACACCACGTTGATCATGACTAAAACACTCAGGGGTCTTTTCAAGTTAGCTTCATTGCTATCAGTGTGACAAGATTTGTCATAAAGGTGGAACTGGGCTGTGTGAAATAACCACACAAGAGACAGAAATACCTTTTTCTTTGGGGGTGCTGTGATGGCTCCTCTGACCTTAAGGGTCTGCAGAGAGAGAGAGAGACTGCGAGCATGTGCTGACCCTTTTTATTAATGAGAAGCCATTCAAATGAGGCAAGGGGTCAGGTTTCAGGGGACTGAGTCTAAGATGTCTGCTGTCAGCAGGGACTGACAGCTAGGAAGGCCACACCCAAGGGCAGAGTAAGAGAAGGGGACACACAAAGGGCATTTCCATGGAACATTCTGTCCCAAACAGGGCAAGGGGTAATATCACAAAGGAACAGGTGAGCATAGCTCCATCCCTGGGGATGTAGGAAGGCACGCCTAAGCATGAAGACACATTTGCGTTTTCTCTACCCTCAAGATCTGGGCTACAGTCTTCCGTTACTTAGAGCAACCAAATCACAGGCTGACCAACAGTGCCTCAGCTGACCAGGAGGGAAAGCAAATGTTGGTCATATGCTATATCAGCCTCCCACAAAATGCTAAATAATTTWAAAAATTCTTCAAATTAAGAATAAGGTTTATCTCATGCTCTCGAGGGAAGGGGTACTATTTGCTTTTTAGAATTATAGTTTATTAGTTCAAGAGAATTTCCAAGTTGTAAATAGTTATCACTTTCTATCTTATTTATTTTTAAAAAACACAACTATTTCCTATCTAAATATTTGACCTGTTATGCCTTTCAGAAAATATTCAAGTCTTTATTTTTTCACTATTCATCATCTCTTCCCATTTCTCCAATTGAAATATTAAGAACAATAGAGGAGGGGTTGACTTAAAAAAGTACCTACCTTACCTGTCTTGAACAGGTTGAGCAAGATCACACACATGGATATGTTGTCTAAGACATCTGGTTCTGGACTAGATTTTGGAACTAATTTTCAGCATAAGCCTTTGCGATAGTTTAGGTATAGTTTTTCCCTACCAAAACACATTGGAATTTGATTCCCGAGTAGTGGTATTCAGAGGTGCCTTTGAGAAGTGATTAGGTCAGTGTCCTCATGAATATATTAATGTCTTTTTCAATAGACTGGATTAGTTCTCTTGAGACATGGATAAGTTCTTGTGGTAATGAATTAGTTCTTACCAGAACATACCTGGAACCACCTTTCAGCCTTTCTCACATCTGTCCTTTCTTCTGCATATACTTGCTTCTTTCCACCATGAAACCTTTACCAGAGCTCAGCAGATACACTCTTGGAATTTCAGATTCGTGAACCAAAATAAACCCCTTTTCTTTGTAAATTATCCAGTCTCAGATATTCTGATATAGCAATGGAAAGTGATATTATTTTTTATGTGTAATTAAACATAATTAGTTCTGTTTCATGGTTGCCAAAATATTTAGATTGAACCATATGAAATTACTGTTTTAAAAGTACTTTGGACTTAACATAATTAATTATTGTAATTTATTATACCCCTTAAGTATACATGCAAATAATAACTAAATATAGTGTCAAGTTTAACATCTACTTTGCAAAATAGGTCTGAAAGTCCTAGGCAGCCTATTGACAAACTCTCTTTTTTTTTTTAAAGAGAGAGAGAGAGAGAATTTTTTCTAATATTTATTTTTTAGTTTTCAGCGGAAACAACATCTTTGTTTGTATGTGGTACTGAGGATCGAACCCAGGACGCATGCATGCCAGGCAAGCGCACTACCACTTGAGCCACATCCCCAGGCCAACAAACTTTTTTAAGTCAAGGATTTTCGTATACAAAATAAACTTTAACCTGCAAACCCTCTTCCCTCACTTCTTCCTCACCTTAAAAATAGGTTACTATTGGATTGATAGTCACAAATCAATAAATTGAAAAAGTCACCTGGAATCAATTTAAATTTATTTTCAGAGGTATAACTAGAAATGTTTTCTGTTTTACAAAAACATTTACATTTCTCTTTGATAAGACTTGGTTGATAGCTATGGCTATACCACTTTACTTTCTACTTTTTTTTGAGGGTTCTTTTTTTTAATTTTATTTTTTATATTTAATTGATTTTATTTTTTAAATACATGACAGTGGAATGCATTACAGTTCTTATTATACATATAGAGCACAATTTTTCATATCTCTGTATATAAAGTATGTTCACACCAATTCATGTCTTTATACATGTACTTTTAATGATGTCTATCACATTCCACCATCATTGCTAATCCCCTGCCCCCTCTGCCCTATCTAGAGTTTGTCTATTCCTCCCCTGCTCCCCGTCCCTATCCCATTATGGGTCTGTCACCTTACATCAGAGAAAACATTCGGCATTTGGTTTTTGGGGATTGGCTAACTTCACTTAGCATTATTTTCTACAACGCCATCCATTTACCTGCAAATGCTATCGTTTTATTTTCTTTTATTGCTCAGTAATATTCCATTGTGTATATATGCCACATTTTTAATCCATTCATCTACTGAGGGGCATCAAGTTTGGTTCCAAAGTTTATCTATTGTGAATTATGCTGCTGTAAACATTGATGTGGCTGTATCCCTGTAGTATGCTGTTTTTAAGTCCTTTGGGTATAGACCAAGGAGAGGGATAGCTGGGTCAAATGGTGATTCCATTCCCAATTTTTCAGGAAATCTCCATACTGCTTTCCATATTGGCTGCACAATTTTGCAGTCCAACCAGCAGTGTATGAGTGTGCCTTTTTCCCAAAATCCTTACCAACACTTATTGATGTTTGTCTTCATAATAGCTGCCATTCTGACTGGAGTGAGATGAAAGAGTAATTTTGATTTGCATTTCTCTAATTGCTAGAGATGTTGAACATTTTTTCATATATTTGTTGATTGATTGTATATCATCTTCTGAGAAGTGTCTGTTCAGTTCCTTGGCCCATTTATTGATTGGGTTATTTATTTATTTATTTATTTTAAAAGAAGATTTTTTTTATAATTTAATTTTTTTAAGAGAGAGAGAGAGAGAGAGAATTTTTAATATTTATTTTTTTAGTTTTCAGCGGACACAACATCTTTGTTTGTTATGTGGTGCTGAGGATTGAACCCCGGGCCATATGCGCCAGGCGAGTGCGCTACCGCTTGAGCCACATCCCCAGCCCAGATTGGGTTACTTTTTAATTTTTTTTTTTTTTTTTTTTTTGCTTAACTCTCTATTCACCTCACAGATTGTTTCTTTTGCTGAGGAGAACCTTTTATTGATTCTTAATTTTAATTCTTGTGCCAAGGAGTCTTATTAAGGAAGTTGGGGCCTAATCCCACACGATGGAGATTAGGGCTTACTTTTTCTTCTATTAGATGCAGGGTCTATGGTATAAGTTTTTTGCCTTTTACTTTCTACTTTTCAAAATATACTTTTAGGGGTTGGGGTTGTGTCTCTGTAGTGGTAGAGTGCTTAGCACAGGCTGTCAATGATGATCAATTACATGTCAGCAATTCCCTCTCCAAATTTCTGCTTATACAAATTACATTCAAATTTGCCCTCCTTTGTCATTCAGTTGCCTACATGTTATTAATCTTGCCTCATCTACTCCAATTCTTGTCATGGTTGCCAAAATATTTAGATTGAACCATATGAAATTACTGTTTTAAAAGTACTTTGGACTTAACAGAATTACATCTTTCCGTATTTGTATATTGGTGTGAATGAAACCAGCACTCCAAAAAGTTACATAGAACATAATCACCTAGCTTAATAGGGTCTTAAAAAAGTCTTCTTTAAGATGTGGAGACTGATGATCTGTAGTAGTGTATACTTTTTAGTAAATATCACCACAACCCAATATTGTAACATTTTCATCACTGAAAGAAGTTTTCTCGGCCCATTTATGGTCAGTCCTTTCTCCCATCCCCATCTCCAAGAGACTTTCTTTTTGTATAGTTTTTCTTATTCTAGAAATTACATATAAATAGAATCATGCAAAAAGTTGACTTACATCTCTGTATTCTTTTACTTAACATATTTTTGAGGTTTATCCGTACCATTGCCTATATCAATATTTATTTTTTAGTGTTGATTATTACTCCATTATATAGATAATGTTGTTCTTGTTCATTCGTTTATCAACATTTGAGTTGTTTCCAATTTTTAGCAGTGAACATTGACATACAGGTTTTTATGTGGACATATTTTTATTTTTATTGTGTAGCTATCTTGGAGTAAAATTTTTGGATTGTGTAGTAATTATAAGTTTAACTTTTTAAGGAACTGTCAAATTGTTTTTTAAAATGTTTATATCCTTTTACATTCTCATTAGCAAATATGTATGATAATTCTAATACTGCTAAATACTCACCAACACTTGATACTGTTAGTCTTTTTGATCATAGCCATTTAGTATCTACATGTACTTTTGCCTTATGATTTTAATTTGCATATCTCTATGTCTTATGATGTCAAACATATTATGTGCTTATTTTTAGTTAGCTTATCCTCTATTCGAATCTTTAGCTCATTTTTCAGTTGTTTGTCTTCTTGTTGTTATTGAGTTCTAAGAGTTCTTTCTGTACGTGGGCATAGGTTCTTAAACAGATACATGTTTTACAAATTATTTCTCCCAGTTCATGGCTTGTCTTTTCATTTTCTTTATGGTATCCTTTGAGATGCATAATTGTTCATTTTGATGAAGTTTATTTTTCTTTTACGTTT